ATATGAAAGTTTATTAATGTGCGTGATTCCTTTAAGATTTACTCTATGTTGAACATTTGATAAACCACCAGTAATTCCATTACGGAGAATGTGATAAGCTTCAACTGAATCTAAAGTCATTGGTAAATTATTTTTTAATGCATAATTTCTTAAATTGATTCTTAAACGTTGAACATCTTCATCTTTATTTGATTTTACGACATTGCAATAACAACACATTAACTGACAATTTTCTTTGGTATGTGGTTTTTCATTATCGATTCTATCCAATGTTGGTTTATTTGCATATGTAAACGCTTTACCACACATTTTGCATTTAGATGAAAGGATTAAATCGTGATAGTATTGAAAATCATCCATTGAAACATTATTTTTAGTATCCCTTTCTGCTTTTTCATCTTGTTTCTTATATGATTCAATTTTATATTTCCAATACTTTTTCGTTAATTCAAAACTTGATTCTATCTCTTCATCAGGATATTTTTCATTAGGATTAAAGTCTTTATATGCTAAAGCGTAACGAATCATTGAAGCATTCGATGATAAAGAAAGATTATGAAGCATGTCAATTTTATAAACAAATGTTTCTTCAATAATTTTATCGATTGGGTCAATCATAATTTCAACATCTTTATTGCAATAATGAATAAAATATTCTAATCTATTCTTAAAATTTTTAGCATCATTGAGATATATTTGATAATCACTATCTGATATAGTTTCTTGAGTTAATGCTGAATAAAATGAATCTTTCGTGAATGGTTCCTCTTTATATAATTCTTCTTCGTAATTTTCCCATGTGATGAATTGATAAGGGAAAAAGGATTTAACACGTGATTTATTGTTTCCGAAATCTTGAGTGAATTGGTCTAATGTTCCACCCGCTATATAATTTCTGATGTCAATAAATCTCAATTCATATGGAACGTTTGTTTTCTTTACAATGATTTGCTTAAATTGAGAAGAAGAACCCAGCATTGATTTTATTTTCCATTTTGCAGTGTTTAAATCACGAAGAATTAAATTTAAATCAAACTTTCCCGAATTAAAACCTATGATATTCACTTTATTGAATTCCTCATCTAGAAGTTCTTTAAATGCTTCCTTCTGTTTTTCATTTAATGTTTGAGACAAAGTCCCCGCCGTTTGGTCCGTTTGCGACTTCATTAATTCTTCATATTGTTCAATATTTGATTTAGCAACTAATGAACAGGTTGAAAATAAAAACTCAATCCAATCAGAAATAAAAGAATCACTCGAAGTTAAGCAAAAATTCCTCGTATATGTTTTATCATTTAATTTAACCGTTGATGATACCATGAATGGTTTTAAGTAAGCGTTCAAAGTTGCACACTCAGAAAGTTGTAATTCTTCTTTAGTCTCTAATGTTTCGAAGTCAAAAGTAATATAATATCTTGTCGGTTTATAATATTCCTGCAAATTATGAGCTAATAACCACTGATATATCTTCTGTTTCGTAATATGTGGTGCATATGGTTGCTGTGTCTTTTGCAATTGAACGTCTTGAATTAATCTTCCATTATTTTCTTTACATTTCTCACAATGCTTTAAAAATCTTCTTTGGTTTTTCCTTTCTGGATCATCACGGATAGAATAAACTTCTTCTTTACAATATGGACAAACTCTATAGCCGGTGAGTGCTTCAACGTCTGTTATTCTGTCAGCGTGAAGTTTTCCACATGGACTCTGTGTTAATAAAATATTTATTGTTTCAAATTCTGGATCTATCATTATTGAATCCACTAATGGAAAGTCTACCTTATTTATGTCCACGTCTTCTGGTTGAGGATCACAATAATAGAAATCAATATTAACATTTAACATTCTCGCTAATCTCTCACTTTCTGATGAAATGTCAAACCCTTCATATGCATCTATTGCTTCATTTAAATAGCTTCTACGAGTTTTAGGATTAACACCATCAGGAATGTTATAGAAGCGTTTACATAACCTTCTACCTTCTGCTCTAATTTGATTATCATTCATTTTAGCTGTTCCGTTTTTGTTCATTTATGTAAGAATAAAAAATTAAAAAATAAAATTTATTCTTTAAAGCCCATAAAATGAATTAAGAACACATAAATTTTTATCATCTGCGACGTGACGAATACATTTTAATTTACTCAAGAATGCGTACCCTGATACATTAAATCTAATTCCTGTCTTATTTAATTTCACAACTTTGAAAAGGAATGTATGAATAGCTATAAAATGATGAGAAGATGTTTTATGGGTTGCTTCCATTTTTTCTGAAATAAATGAATAAATATAATGCTTATACGTTTTCATATCTTTTTTATTCTTAATAACGAATGGTATAGACCTTTCCACTTCATCTTCCTTCGGTGCTGTTCTTTCATATGAAACATTATTGGTATCTTCAATAATGAAACCACAATCACACAAAATTTTATATGTTCCAATGGTTTCTTTTGATATTTTATCTAATAAATCAAAAACTTTATCAACACCTGTGCATTTATTTAAATAATAATTTGTGTAAATATCATGATCTTCTTTCTTAATCGTATTAGTTGCATATGTCACGTTTTTAAGAGCTTTTTTGAATTTCTCAGAATCGAGAGGGGGTGAAAGTAAGATACAGGGGTATTCTTCATTATCAATAAATTGTAACTTATGTTTACGAATAAATTTAGTACCTTCTTCTGAAAGTGTTTCGTCTATTTCACCATCTAATAAATTTTGTGTTGATTCTGAGACATAATTTTTATATCTTTCTTCATGAGATTTCTGAACTTCTGATTCTGAAGCTGGGATATTCATTAAACCCTCTACTTCATTTTCATTATATTTTTCAACTTCTCTTAATTCCTTAATTTTTTCATCTATTTCATCTCTTATTTTTTCCAGTCTTTCAATTTCATCGTATTTATCATCTTTAATCCGTTCTTCATAATATTCAGGGAAAACATCAGGTTCTTTAGTTTTTCCCTTTTTAGATGTGGGATATAAGAAATTTATAACATCATCTTTATTCATTTTTCCATCATAATCAAACTCATTTAAAAACTCCGCGAATTTTTGACAATTTCTAAAATAATATTTATCAACCTCATAACCTGCCTCCTCTAATATATCCTTTATTTCCTCATTTGTGAATCCTGATGTTTTCACGTCGTTAGTATTGACGCTCATTTCATACGAATTAAAAATAAATTATTCAAAAATGTAAGACATGAATTTTTAAATTTTATTTTTTTATTTCATTATGGTAGTGAATCTTTCATTCATGAAAATAATTATTTCTAATTTCTTTTACTCTCTCGTATATACTAGATTTAAAGAATTCAGAACATTTCTCATAATCTCCTAAATGTTTTCTTATCCCTAACGTGTGCCAGTTATTATATGAAACTGAATAAACTTTATCTTTATCTTTACACCTTTCATCACTTCCAATATATTTATATCTCAGTTTTGATTTAGCATTTTCATATTCATTAGCGTTTAATAATTCACAGTCTTCCTTTTTAAATATATGTTTAAGATATTCAGGATTTAATACTCTACGTTTATATGCTCCTAACTTAGTTCTAAAGGTTTTTCTACAAAATTTAGGAATTCCATCCTCTTTAATGTCATCAATGATTTCCATTTCATTATTTTCAATTTCTTCTTCTCGTTTATGAGGTCTTTGATTATGACTCCATTGATTCCATGAAATTAAATATTCTTTATCATTATATTTATACCTCATTAGCTTATTTTGGCTTTCATATTCATTTAATAATTCACAATCTTCATTTTTAAATTGAAGTTTAACCCATTCAGGATTTAAACAATGTTTAATTAATCGTGGAATATCTGACATCATCTATATATAGCTTCTTTTATAAAAGATGAAAAATAAATTATTTTAAAATTAATGTTAATTTTTTAAATGATTTATAAATAAATATATTTTAATGCATCGTCTATATATAGATGTAACAAAAAAAGTCACACAACCCTTCCTATCCTACTACTTTTGTGCATATATTCATCTATAAGACACATTGTATCCATATATTATTTAGCCAACACAACTTATCTGGTATCGAGAAAATTCAAAAAAAGCACAAAATTTGAAAATTGCTCGGTTCTACATTCAAAATAAATTTCATTAATTTTTACGTACATATTAAGGTACTTATCTTCTACATATATAATCTTCATTAGATATATACATGATAAATAAAATTCATAAAACATTAAAAATCAAAAAATTAGATGAACCTTGGCAATTAAACTTTATTAAATAATAGTTGTTTATAAATTATATTATATTATCATTTAATATTATTTTGATAATGAAGATTTTATTTTGCAATAATATAAACGAAATTTTTTACCTTATGAACTTTTGATGTAAATATGCAAATTTAAAATAATAAAGAAAGCCGTGAGCGAAGCGATCGGCTTAGTTCGAAGATTTTGATTCAAATCTTTGCTGATCTGTAATTCGCGGAAGCCGCGAGCGAATCGAGCGGCTTAGGTCTAAGATTTTGATTCAAATCTTTGCTTATATTCCTTAAATTCTTTATGAAACTCGCAACAGTTCCATAAAAAATTTTAAATTCTAAACTGTCGAAATTACCGATCGGTAATCACACCCTTCACGGGTGTGTCACTTTTTGCAGGCATGTCGCTTTTAGCTAAAATTACCCCTACTCAAATTCAATATTTCAAAATTTCGATACCTGGAGATACAGATTGCGCATATGAGATAATGTTAGATAATATATTAATAATATTGGTTTTGAGTCCAATTTTATGAACAATGAATGCTTCATTGTAAAAATATTGATTTTTCCTAACCATTGATTATTCTTGCATAACTAATACATCATATCTAAATTTCGAGCTTAATGCACCTTTTGTTGTAATTTCTGTTGAGAAAATGTATCAATTTTTTTCATCTCAGATTGGATTCATCTGTACGTTAAAATCTCGTTGAAATTTATAAATTTGAAAGAAAAATGGAAGTCCTCTCTAATATATATGTAATTGGAGACCGTACTCCACTTCCAGGACCATCAGATTATACAATATCTAGAGCTTTCACTGATAAAAAAGGTATTGCAATTTCACCAAGATTTACCTTTTCAACTTCTCGTCCAGACCCAGCTCTTGTCAACTACAAAAGCACTATAGGAAATGGACCAAAGGTTACAATTGGCCCTCGTTATTGTGATATTAAGAGAGATGATGTTCCAGGTCCAAGTTATGTTCCTCCTCCCTTCGGACAGGTTAACGGTGTTAAGTTTCCAAGAGCAAAGGCTCCATGTGTACCTAAAAACCTCAATCCAAGTCCTCAAGATTATAGTCCAATTTATGAATCAAACGTAGGAATACGTAAGAACATAATGGCATCAATAGGAACAGCAAAACGCCCTTCCATATTTAACGGTGATCCAGATACTCCAAGTGCTGGTAATTATAATCCAAGATTCAAATACATTCATGCTGACTCACCAAGAATTACAATTGCACATAAGTACAAAGAGCCTAAAAAGGATAGAACAGGTGAATATATCGCTCCAAGAACTACTTTAAGTGCTCGAGGATGTGATTTTGGACGTGGATCACGTCGTGTTCCTATTATGCATTAAATTTTGTTGTTATACTTAAAGATTAATAATAATGATCTATTGTATGAGTGGAAAATGAATTCTGTTTCAATTTTTTTTATGCGTCATAATTTAATATAAATTCTTGTATGTGTAATAAATCAGCTATCAGTAGGTAGATTCAATTATATCTTTTAGCTATATTTTCATAAAAAAAGAATTTATCAAAATAGTTTAGTCGGCATAAACTACCTTAGACTTGATTGGCCTTTTATGAAGATCCTGTTCTGGGGCAGCTTTACCCATGGCAAGACCCATAATAGCAGCATCCTTTGGAATACCAAGAACTTCAGAAAGATCAGCCATACCGATAGCACCGATGCACATTGTGCTGTATCCCATATCTTGGGCAAGCAAAATCATTGATTCGACGATGAGACCGCAATCGATATGATAGTAATCTTTGTGAGCTCTCTCATTCTTAACTAAGACGAAAAGAACTGGAGCATCGCAGGTGATAACGTTCTTAACATGAAGCTGTTCATGACGATTAACGAAGTACTTTGTGGCGTATTCTGGAAGGGCCTTGAGTGTAGCTTCTTCAATCTTGGCAAGCTTTTCTTGGCCTCTGACGACGTAGATGTCGACACCTTGGATATCCATAGAAGATGGAGCAGTTAAGCCACTGTTTGCGATGAGATCAATATCTGCCTTTGGAACTTCTTCGCCCTGAACATAGTGTCTAATTGTTCTTCTAGCTTGGATGCACTTAAGGACACTCATATGAAGTGATCGCTGTAAAATTAAGCTATCAATATTTTATGAGAGATCTCAAATTTGAAAAAATTTTAGTGCAATCACATAAATATATATGAAAACTGATTTTGATGATTTGCAATGATTCGAGTTGCATTCAAAATTTTACACATGATTTTAAGTGTTATATTTGTCCTATTCTAGAAATGGCTTGAAAATCACCGTGCGATAGGGCTGTTCTCCGTCGATTTTTAAAATTGTGTGAAAACGGTTTTTATCGAAATGTAATTGAATTTCACAAGATAAATCTCAAAAGACAAATAAGGTCCAGATTATTTAAAGTTTAAATTTTAAACATTTAAATAAAACCTGATTAAAGCATAATTCATGATATAACGATTATTTTGAATGGAGGATTACATTGAATTCCGAAAAGTTCATTTGAATGATTTTCGCAGAAACCATAGACGAATATTACAACAAATCTAAGTATCTCATTCTTTATAGATACAAATAAGTATTCATGCTCATTGATTCTGTTGATCAAAAGCTTATCCAAAATTTATTTCTATTTATTTTGCAAAAAAAAGCACTCAAATTCATTTTTTAAATTCAATTAAGGTATGTTACCACATAAATTCCATTTAACCTTACAATTAGGAAAATAATTTATGAAAGTTAATTTATTAAAAAAAGGACTATTTTTACTCTTTTTCTAATTATTTTTTGTTGAAATTTTAACAGGTTTATCTATTATTTAGATTCGAATTCTCTATCTTTGTTTATTTAGCGTTATATTATCAGTAAAATGCTGATACAACATTTTGTTCGTGTTTTGTTTATTTAATCTCCAATAATATTCACATATAATTGATACAAACATAAATCAAATTTTTATTAATATTTTTATAAACCTATACACCTTACACAATTACTAATTTCTACTTAAATAGTAAAAACAACTGCATAAAACCAATACAATGAAAAAATTTAAAATATATTTTTATAATTAAATAAAAGTTAGGATTCCTAATGACTTATACTCTACGATTTAACAGAAATCCATTAGTAATTAAAGTTCTTAAGAGTGAAAACGTTGAATATTGCATGTGGATGCAACTCATTCGTTTGGCTTTGTTATTTATCAAAAATGTAAAATGAAGAGTGTTATAGTTGGAATCCTTATTGTTACCATCTGTTCCATAAATCACAATTGAGTGTCTTCCTTCACGTAAATCTTTGTCTAATTCGATATATTCATCAAATGTATTTTCTTCTGCGTTTCGTATTGATACATCTGTAAGATAATTTTCACCATCTTGATCGATGTTATATTTTATCTTGACCGTTCCTGTACCATCATCATGACGAACACTACCTTTTATAGGGTACTTATTATCAACATTTCCATAAACTACTTGATTATCCTTTGAATCTAATGTTATACTTGGATGATTGTAAATATACTCAATATTCTTAGAAACATTAAATGATGGCTTGTTTGATTCATCTCTTGCAAAGATAATAATCTTGTGATAACCTTCTGAAAAATGAGATGGAATTGCAAGATCAAATGTAAATGGATATGGATTTGTGTTTTCAATAACAATTGTTTTAGTATCTGATTCAATATTATCAATGTTACAACCAATAGTGACACTACCGAGTCCATCTTTATCAGATACAGTCCCTTCAATATGAATAGTCTTGTCAATGTTGCGTTTGTATGGTTTCTGATCGAATACTGTAATGATGAGTTCTGGTGAGTTGTATTTGTAGTAAAATCGATATTCGCATATATCTGATTGCTTGTTTGTTTCATCAACACACCAAACATATAATATATGTAAACGTTCATCAAGGTTTGTAGGAATAACAACATCTTTTTCGAATTCAGTAGAATCACAATTACTAATTTCAACAATTGTCATGTTATTTTGTTCAAGATCGTTAAACTTGAACATCAAATACATAATTCCTGAGCAATCAGAGTCAGAAACACGTCCTTTCATGTGAATACTTTTATTTGTCGTTCGATAGTATTCATCATATGGAGTAGATATAGAGATTGATGGCTTGTTGAACAAGAATTCGAATTTTTTGTCATATTTTGGTGATTCTTTGTTGAAGTTATCAACGACCCAGATGAATATTGTGTGATTTCCTTCAACCATACTATCAATTTCTATGTCGAGCGAGAATCCATTGTCATTCGGGTTAAATGATTTTCTATCAACATCGGTCCCTGCATTGTTTGAGTTGTCGAAACAGTACTTGAATGTGAAACTTGTTGCACCATTGTCGCTATTAATAAACCCTTCAACATGAATAGATTGATCGATTTTGTTATGATAGGCATTTTTCGGATTCTCCGTGATTGATATTGAAGGACCACTAAATTGATATGAAAATTTGATGATATGTTCGTTGGAAATCTTAACATCTGAATCAATAGCATAAACAGTTATTTGATGATTGCCTTCAGTCAGATCATTTGGGAATGGTACAGTATAGTTGATTTCATATTCACCTCGGCTCTCGATATCATAAGTCTTTATTGGAAAATCTGAATGAGAATCAAGTCTGTAAAAAACTGTTACTTGGCCAGTTGCATCTGGATCTTTGATTGTTCCTGAAATGATGAGTTGTTTTCCATCATTCTTCTTGAATTGCTGACCATCCACAGTTGTTATTTTTATTACAGGGGAAGTAGATATATAATTGAAATCAATGCGTATGTTGTTTGATTTCTTTCCACTTTCATCAATTGCATAGAGAATAATATTATGATTATTTCCTAGTAATCCATCAGGAATAGGAATAATTTCATTGACATCATATGAATATATATTAGAAATTTCATAAGTTGATAAAGTATTTTCTCCTCGAGAATCGATATTATACTTTATAGAAACCGAGCCACTTCCATCTTGATCTTGAATAGTTCCTATAATAGGAATGATATTTTCATTTCTGTTAAGCTGCCATTCATTACTCGACGTAATTTCGAAAACTGGAGCATTATTTGAAAATGTGAATCCATATGTTTGGAAATTTGATATTTTCCCTTCCTGACTAACAGCATAGAAAACAATAAAATGCTTGCCTTCTGTCAAATTATCTGGTATTGCGATATTTTCAGAAAAAGATGGCTTAAATAAGTTTACACTTTTTGTTGTTAAATTTTGCTCCTGAGACTCCAAAATGTATTTGATAGTTACCTTCCCAGAGTAATCATCGACTCGCCCACTAATTGGTATATAAGTATCAACATTTTTTCTCAATACCAAATCATTTTGAGTAGTTATAGAGAGCTTGGGAGATATTAAAACGAATGTGAATATTAGATTACAAGTGTTAGATCTTTTACCGCTTGAGTCTATTCCATAAAAAATCATTGTATGCATACCTTCTGGAAGATTTCCGGATAAATCGATAGTTTTACGAATATTCTCGCCATCAAGATCAACAATATTATAGCTACGAAGTACTTTTAGAGCATCTTCATCAAGTTGATAATATACTTCAACAATTCCCATTAAATCCGGATTGCTGATTGAACCTGAGACATGTATTTGAGGCGTCGAAAAAAAATCTCGGCTGATAGTTTTTGAGTCTGAATTAATAGATAAAACAGGAGGATTGTAAGTATATGAAAATGGAATAACATTGTTTTCGGATCTTTTTGATCTGGTATCAATTGCATAGATAACTACACTATGAGGTCCTTCTGATAATGTAGATGGGATTTCGATACTTTTTTCAAAAGGACTTTCAAGATTTTGATTGATAGTTTGTTCGAGTAATGTTTGTTCTTCTTGCTTTTGTGAATCAAAGTAGTATTTAATTGTTATTGTTCCCTGTGCATCTGCATCACTGAAACTTCCAACAATTGAAAGTTTTTCACCATCATTCTTCCTGAATTGTAGATTGCTCGGTGTATTAATTGTAAGTACTGGATTGTTATAATTGAATATAAATCTGAAGGCTTTATGTTCAGTTTCTTTTGATTTTTTATCTGAACACCAAAGGTATAATGTATGCACACCTTCTGTTAGACGTGTTGGAATGCCTATAAAATATTCAAATCTGTGCTTGGTGGATGGGTTTGATAATTCGATTGATTCTAATTTATTTTTAGTTAGGCTGTCAAATTGGTAGAATGTATCAATAACCTCATTACCATCTTTGTCTGAAATTTGTCCTACTATTAAAATTTGAGTATCGACATTATGTGTATATATAAGATTTGGTATTGTTGAATATGTTATGACTGGATAATTGTATTTGAATGAGAAATTGAGTGTTTTTATTGACGTATTTTGGTTACTTTCATCGGATGCCCAAATTTTAATCGAATGACTATCACTCTCTGGAAGTTCTGATGTGAAATTAATAGCTTCACTTATAGTTATTGGATATGCTGAAGATAGTATATAGGGATTCATCTGAACAGGATTATACTCATCTATTTGGTAGTAAATAGTATAAGTTCCGTATCCATCCCTGTCACTCAATCTCCCTACAATCAAAAAACTTTTCCCATCATTATATGTGAACTCTTGATTATCTAGTGTGAATGTAATAAACGATACATCTTCAGCATATGTTAATGATGTTGAATCGTAAATGCTCATTACAATTTCAGCTTTTACTGTAATAGTATATTCTCCTAATTCAAAATCTTGTAGCAAAATACTTTTTTTAAACTGATAAATATTATCGGTCCGACGTTCAAAATGTTTAAGTAACTTGTACTCCGATTCATCAGTTGGTTTTGATATTTTATAATAAACATCAAATGGTGGACTGTTGCATGAATATACAGAACCTTCCAAGAAAAACGAAGGACTAGATTTATATACAATTAGATCGGTTGAACTAATAGTCACGGATGGAGGCCGTATTTCTCCACTCTTACCCTCAATACAGATGTTGCTGTCTGATTTTAATTTGATTTTGTGATTATACGTTAGAAGTCCAAATGAAAACATCTTTAATAAGTTTGTTACTAATTTAAAGTACTCCATTATAGGTTAAAAAATATCTGAAGATCATTAACATTAGAAGTCGTTAATAATTGTTAATAAGCAGTTTATAAGTCAATCAAGTAATGTTAAGGTTTGTTCAAGTCGATGAAGTTATTTCATCATTGAAGAACATGCTCCGAAACATTTCATAATAGTTTAGTCGGTTTTTGCATTTTTAAAATGTTAGTCACCTTTCTCCTTCCAAAGTGAAAAAAAATTGTTTAAAATATAAAAAGAATTTTTATTCGCATAGGCGACAAACAAGGATTTATAAATAAACAATGGGGCTTTGAGTATTGATCTGAATTGAATCAGATAATTAGCCGTAAAAAATCTTCTCATAACGATTTCTCATGCATGAAAGATGGCTATGAGTGGCGTTAATGAGGGCGTTTGATAATTGGAGTTGGACATAAAATTTGGAGATCTTAATTTTTGAGAATTTTGGTGCGATCTTACTGGTACAAGCAAGAGTATGGAAGGAGATTGAACTGAGAAAAAAACTAGAGCATGCAAAAGAATCATGCTACAGCTTAGTTGAATGTCATTTATGCAAATAAAAATATCTTTTTCAAATTTCAAACAAATTTTGCCACTTTTTGAAAGAAGATAAGGTAACAAACATTTTAAAATGCAAAACCTAGACTTAAACTATGCCGAAATGTGAGCTCACCGTTATGGTTTTTTCTTTGGGGCTCGCAAGCTCGCCCCCAAAGAAAAAACCGTAACGGTGACTAACATTTAGGAAAAATGATTGGCACTTTTAAGTTCCTTCAAATTTTGAATAGACATAAAAAAACCATAAAAATTTTATTTTCAAATTTTTTTTAGATCGTTGGTATTTCATAAGGAGTTAAAATATAGCATTTGTCAAACTGAATATAATTCTAGCTAATAATCTTTCTTTTTTGTTACCCAGAAATATGAAACGTATCATAACACCTGTTAATTGATTCTTCATCTTCTTGTTTAAGCCTTTGACGATCAAATTGTGGAGTTTTATTGGTCAGGAGTTTAAACCACAATTTAACCAATTATATTAATTGCATAAATTGTAATTTTGGACATTTTCCAATTCTCAAATACGTCTTAAGAGCATCATATGCTAAATGAACTAGAAATTATTGAATTTTAGGTTTATTTTAAGATAAAAATTATTTTTGATAGCGCAACGCATGCTAATTCAGATACCAATAACCTCCCCTTAGGTAATATGAAGAAAATCAACTTCAAAATGAGTATGGAAATGTGATATTTATAAATCTTGGGTTTATTTGAAGAAAAAAAGTTATATATTTAATAAAAAACAGAAATATATTTATTTTAAACAGCAACAACAGTAACAATATCAAGGGCCGCATTGAACTCACTTTTGTCGAAATCAATAGATTTCTGGAGTTTGTTGAACGCGTCATTCAAGTATCTCGCAGATTGTGCCTTCTTCCCTGGCTGCAACTCGTTTGGAATTGCGTTCATCGGAACTAAAATACAAACACCGTTTATGACTCCTTTAGAAACCAATTTTCCTTTAGAAATGTACCATCTCGGTTCATCGAACTTGACAATAATAGGAAGGTTGATGAAACCCTCGTCAAGTTGCTTTTCTACCATCATTCTCTGCTCTGGAACAATAACTAACTTCAAGGAATTCTTTGAAAACTGTTGTGGCTCAACTCCGCCAGGAGTTGTTGCGTAGATGCCGTCAACAGTTTCTTCAGTGAGATATGTCCATTCGAAGATGTGTCCTGTGGGATTGACACCGTCCAAAGCATGTTTGACCATGGAAGACTGGTTGGAAAGCATGTTTTCGTACTCTAATGAAATCATAACGATGGACATGATTCCATTTGAGTACTGGATGTCGACAAGGTATGGCCTGATGGTATCTATCTCATGGATACTGCATAAAGCAATGGATTTCCCGGTTTTTATGGATTCAATAACGCTATTTAGGAAAATCGGGCAGTGTTTGCGGTAGAAACTGCCAGCAATAATCTCTATATGCTTCCTGCATTTGGGAGAGAAGGCAATTTCGTTAGGAACGTCCCAATTTGCATATGGAGAGGTTCTTGTTGGGACTTTGAGGTCTAAATAGGTATCTCTAAGCAAATCTAAGAAAGTCACTCTAGTATCATTGGAATTTTCTGGTTTTGGAGTGAAGAAAATTGATAATGTTAATTTTGGAATGGTTTTCATAAGAGATATCTCTGGGAAGAAGACAAAATCTCCTTCATCTCCAATTGGACATGTTGCAGCGTTCATTTGGTTACAATTTGATCTAATTAACCTAATTAATGGGATTTGTTCAGCGGAAAAGTGCTGCAGGACTTTTGTTTCAGTGATTTTTGTAAGTTGTGAGAAAGATTTCGGTACTTGTTCGTTAAAGAACCTCTTGAAAACTTCTGGAAAGTCAATATTAAAATCTTCATGCAAAACTCTGTTGAAACCAATCATAATTGCTCCTAGAGTTGAAGAAAGAGTCTGTTCGTTGGAAGTATTGTAGTAATTTGTCACATCTCGCAATGTACAGGTCAAAACTTTGACATTTCGGATGGAATCGAACGTATTGATGCCATTTACAAGCAATACGTTGCGTTCGCCAGGTTTTCTCCATATCGGAACCATGAATGAGACGACTTTATTTAATTCATCGTCTAAAGGTTCAATAATACGAGAATAAATGCAATTTATCATGTCCTCGTCAACAGGCTTGCCATATAAATTGCCAATAAGCCAATCAAACTTTTTATTGACGCATTCAAAAACGACAAAATTTTGTTTTCCCCAAACATTCTTTAAAACGTCCAAATCTTCGTATGATCCACGTGAAATCAGGTGCGCATGGTTGTGGGTGACCAGCATTGTCAGTACAGCGTGGAAATTCAGCTCAATTGAACGAATAATGTTCGATGATCCATCTGCTGAAATGAAAAACAGATATTTCGAGTTTTCTACGGTAATACAATGCATACCAATTCTGTATTTGTCGATTGTCCACTTCATTGTCTCTCCATCGATGAAATGTTCCAATGAAAAATTATTTATTACTCTTTGAAGCTCTTTTTCAAGAATTGGTGAGTCAATAAATTTCGCTAGTATACGTATCTCCTCTTGGTCATAGATCATGACCACTACAGCGTTGTAATTTAGTCTTTTATACGCAGATTGAAGTAAACGAATGAAAGCAACTCGTGATGGCTTGGCTTTGAGTCCTTCATATAATATACTCTCTTGAATTGTGATAAATCGTTCGATTTCATGGCTTTGTCTTCCTAAAGCAAAATAATCTGGATCTAAACATGTAATTTTAACATTGCATGCTTGTCCTTCTGCTTTGAATGGCATATTGATTGTTGGTGAGCCGTTTTCTGAGAAACTCAGCATACTATCAACTTGATATCTTTTATCTGAATCTCCTGTTGATAAAACTGTGCCAGTGGCTATCGTATGGCATTCAAATGTATTTACATTGAAAGGAAGCCTAAAAACAACGCACATAACCATGTTGCTGTTGATATTATGATAAATTATTTTGTATTGAAGGGAATTTCCGTTATTAAAGAAGTTGTGTGATGATTCTTGCTTGTCTATATTATGGATATCCTTTTTGATTTGAAAAATAATAGAAATTGGAAGAAATTTTGGAAATGGAGTTAAAATGTGGCCTTCTTTTGAGAAAATGATTATAGAAAAATCTGTAAAATTCATAGGTTTAAACGATAATGGTATAAAACGAACTAAAATCGATGAAATTAGTATGAAAATGAAAATTGGAACTAAAAATCTTCTAAAAAAGCATAATGTTTGACGTGGAGTTAATTGTTTTGCAGACTTATAGTGGAATATTTGGGTAGATTCGTTTAAATGTGAGAACAAATTTTCAACTAGATGAAAATTGAAATTTTCAGCTATTATATGTGAAGTAGAGAGGATATAAGGAGTGGTTTGATCGTAATTAGACAAGATTTCATATCCATTCTTCATAAAATCATGAATAATACGAAGATTTGTTATATTTATCATAGCTATTCGATTTGAAATAATAGATATGTTATTATTCATATATGTAAAATATGTTTGTTGACGTGAATTATTTTGATTTGTTGACTTTTCCTTTTGTAATAGATATGAAAGGCGATTTTCACCAAATCTCCTATAAAACAAGTTAGAGTGACCAATAGTTCCTTGTGAAAAATCAAAATGATGATTCTGTATCTGCTTATTTCTTGAATAGAATAAAAATAGTAGCAAATGAAGAATCATCAATTTGAATTTGAAAATAAAAAAGTGAACAAAAAATTAATCGAACAAAATCCAATAAATGAATAAATGTAATAATATCCCAAAATATAAAAATTAAGAGAAAAATTGAAAACGAATCAATAAATGTTCTCAAAATTTTGATTTTCAATTATTTTGCTATTATTTTATATTAAGATAATTAAATTCATTATGTTCCAAAGGGAAATAATTTTCAGAAAGTAGTGAAATTTTTTCTACATAATTTATCAAATTAGTTTATTATTGTATTTTAAATAAATTTTAGCAGATTTCCAATATCGTTATATTAAAAACACTATTCAAATTTTATTGTTGTTCCATTAGGTCAGGTGAGTGGGGCTTCCAGGCGCGTTGCGCCCTCTAGCCCCGAAGATGTTTAGTATAAATGAAGTTTTTATTCGGAAAATTGTTAGTCTTCTGGTGTGAATTCGGAGGACTCTTCTTGGATAGAGTCTTGTATTTCCTCCTCCTCTTCTTCCTCCTCCATTGCTTCTGGGAAGAAGCCTTCTTCTGGGTCGAAAACATTATATAATGTGTAATTGAATGACACATTATATCTTTCTTTGAGTTCGCTCCTGACAAAGAACTTAGTTCCAGGAATACAGAAGACTTCTGTGCGTTGGAAAAGATGATGTCCTGGAACGAATTTGGCAATTAGAGACTTCTTTTTTCCGAATTGTTCAGGAGTTTTCATGACGACAGTAACAACATCTCCATCTGCGAGGTCTTGTTGTTGTTCGGAAAGGTAAAGAGCAATGATATGAATGGTTGCTGCGTTGAATTCGAGAAAGTCGAATTCAAATTGTGTTGTCGTATAACATTCAAACCATTTTGTACGGTTGTCTCCGAACTCGTCAACGTATTCATCTTCGTCATATCCGTAACTAAAGACATGGAATTCGGCAATTCTCTTGTCGAATGACCGTTGGATGTAACGAGGAAGATTTTGACGAACTTGGTATAAAGTTCTCAACATTATAAGCTTAGTAAATGTTGGAAAATACTGAACTAAGACATCACTAAGCTCAATTGGACTTGGAATTGTCTTAGTAAGTTCAATTGAACTAGTAATTGCTTTGTTCAGAACTTCACAGAACTGAGTATTGTATGTAGCGTCTGGTTGTGCGTTTTCTTCGGCGTCTTTGAGATATTTAGAGCAAATTTGTTGAAGAATTTCTCTTAATTCGCTGTTAGACTTTTTGGTGGTTATTCTAACCGCTGTGCCAGTTCTTGGAGGTTGTGGGGCTTTGGCTTTGGTTAGCGGTTGAGAATTGTTAATGTTTGAATTGTGGTTAACAGCGTTGGCTTCCATTAGATAAAAATGAACTGTTTTTTTCGGACCACTCATAGAAAAGTTTGAGATAAACCGTTTTCGTCAACGGAGACCCCCTCTATTTTTTATTTTATTTAATAGTTACCGTTGGAAAAACGGTTTATCTCAAATATTGAATGAACTATAAACGTTTTTTGTTTTCTATATATACTTTTTTGTCCAACGGTAAAACTTTTTACACAACGGTTTTTGAGAGTCGTCGCCGTTGACTTTTTGTAGAGCACTCAAAATAGTATAACTTTGTCCGGACAAGTAAGGTCTATCGTCGCTACAGGAAAAGTTACAGGCGTTCCAAGGAAGTATACTTTGAGAAGCCTTTTCCCCCTTATAGAATGAGATAAGACGGTTATTTTACAAAACTGACAACACTTTGACCGAGTAGTTTTTTATGCTGAACAAAAAGTGTCATATAAACATCTGTCAAAAACCGCTTTTTAACTTCACTTAAAATGCCACGTAAGCTACGTAAGAATATACGTAAGAGGAAGGGAGCATTGAAACATCCAATAGTAAAACTGACACCACAAAACAGTTGCAACAACAAATGATGAATGACCCCACTATGTTGCAACAAATGTCAAGCAACCCTATGCTTTTAAACCGAGTTATTGGTGCACAGAGTGGAGGTTTAAGAGCGGCACTTTTAGCGAAAATGGCAGGCTATGGTGGAGCTGCAGACGGAACAGCTTATAACCCTCAAAGTCAAATGAATTTGAGTTCACTCAAAAATCAAATAACAGATGTCAAAAAGTCAAACATAGACATACAGAAACAAATAAGTGAAAACGAAAAGAAACTAGAATATGACAGACACACAAAGAAACTCAATGAGTTAAACGTAGAGAAAAAGAAGAAAGAAGAACAACTGAAAGAACTAAGTACAGAGGAATATGCGAAAAAAGTGTCAGAAAAAGCAGCAGAAGTAGCAAAAATGGAACAAGATGTTATAAATTTGAAAAACCATACTACTCAATATAAAGTACTGAAAGATGAAGAGATAAAACAAAAAGCCATGAAGACATATATGGATAGCGATAAGTATAAAAAAGAAGTTGAAGCAAATGTAAAGGCAGAAAAACTTTTACAGTTGCAAAACCAAACCGTACAGTATGAAAACTTAGCACAAGAAAGTAAAAATAACGACGCAGCCATGCAAAAGGCAATGAAAAGCGCAGAATATATAAAAGCTAATAATGACTGGTTAGATGCCCAAGCCAACGCTAAAGCAGCCCAACTTATAGGGTCAATAAGGACAAAAATACAAGCGGATGAAGACAGTTCAAATGAAGCTTTAATGAATGCTGACTTTAAGAATGCCTTCGAAGCTCTTCATAGTAAGGTGAAACTAGTGAACGACTTCTCATCTGGAAAGAAACTGAAGTCTGAAGGTTTCGACAAAGAGTTAAGAGAAGTAGCACAAAATATGACGAAAATAACAGATGCAGCAACGAGACAGGCAGTTCAAAGTGCCTATGACGCCGTTAGAGCAACTGTTGTGGAAAGTCAAGAAAAAGAGTTACAACAGACCAAAACAGACCTAGTAAATGCTTTCTTAAGAACGAAAAGTCAGGTAGGACATTATGCTGCAGATGGAACATATGTGCCAGCTGGTGGAACTTATATACCACCAAACCCTCCAAGAGAAGCACCTGCACCAGGACTACCTAAAACATTTACATCGTCACATGGACACAGACACAGGCATGCACTAAAACCAACACAACAACCAACAGTTCAAAACCCTGCACAACAACCAACAGTTCAAAACCCTGCACAACAACCAACAGTTCAAAATCCAGCACAACAACAACAACCAACACAACAACCAACAGTTCAAAATCCAGCACAACAACAACAACCAACACAACAACCAACAGTTCAAAACCCTGCACAACAACCAACAGTTCAAAATCCAGCACAACAACAACAACCAACACAACAACCAACAGTTCAAAATCCAGCACAACAACAACAACCAACACAACAACCAACAGTTCAAAACCCTGCACAACAACAACCACAAACAGAGCAAGGACATAAAAGAAGTAGAGAAAAAGGAAACCAAGAATTCTTAAAAATGCTTAAGGAAGATTATGGTTACCCAGATACTCTTGACTTTAGTGACAGATATAAAGAAGCTATTAGAAAGTTCAAGGAAGGAAATACTGACCCGAACCTATTTAGCTTTATGGTTCAGCATCAAATCGGATATAATCTCAAACCTGGAAAATACAAGCTCGCTAAGGGATATGATTTAATAGCATATCATCCAAATGACATGAATGAATTTACTCCGAGATATTTGATGTCAGAGCTAAATGATAATTCAACTCTCTTCATGAAACGCGTAAAAAATAGAGACGGAACGAAAGAAGAAAGGTTTATGAGTCTGGATGACTTAGATAGGGAACTTGTTAAAAACGGTCTCGGAATATATGAAATGCCAGCAGATGAGGTACAAGAAACTCAACAGGAAGAAGTTCAGATACAACCAGACATGGAAGAAATAGTTCAGCAACAACAGCTAGAAGAGCCTGAAGGAAACGAACAAGTCCCTCCTTTGGAAACTAACTTCACAGAACTAGATGAAGATTTGGAACAGCCGAAAAATCTTGACCCTCAACAAGAGTATGAGGTGAATATGGAATCTTTCCAAGAGTCTAAGAAAAATTCGGCTGACATAGTAGAAGAATATCGAAAAATGTTCACCGACATACAAAAGACTCCAACATCAGATGAAAATATTCAGCATAGAATGGAAGTACTGAAAGAAAATGTACGCAAATACAATAATCCTTTTTACTTACGACCATATAACGTTCAATCTTTGGCTGAACTCGGTGAAAATAAAAGGTTTAATTTCAACAAAACATATAGAAATGAAACATTGTTTAAAGTTCATTCAGAACCTAACCAATATGGAAACAAACCTACTTTTATTTCTGCAGACTATGGAACTACAATGAGATGGGGTCATAAAGCTAATCCGGATAGGTGGTTCATAAACTTACAACCTCAATTCCAAGAAGTTGTAGACGCAATGGAAGTGAATGGTGAACCAGATATAACGGGTATTTTCAGCGCGGCTTTAATGCCATTGAAAGATATGAAAGATGCAGATATTTTGGACCAGTATGAAATGAACATGGCTGAGGGAAATATAACACCTGACGTTCTAGAACATTTATCTCAAAAAACTACACAGAACCATAGAGATGGTATATTTGGTGAAGAGTTTAGAAAGAGAGTTAGGGAGAGAGAAGGAAGAGAACCTATTGTACATGACCTTGCAAACGAAAGTTTGCAAAATGTCATAAAAACTTACTTTGCAGACAATGAACTGAGAAGGGATGAATATTTAAGAAAACTCAAATGGACAGTACCAAATGAAATGTTAGTATTGAAAAACATGTTCCATGACAAAATAAAACCAACTACAGAAATAAATGACGCAAGACTGAAACGTTGGGTAAAAGCTTTCCCATTCACAAAAGATATTATTGGTTACATGGAAAGAAAACCAGAATGGCTACAAAAACATATATTTGGAAACGAGCTTATTCCATATGGACAAGCTCTGTTTGAAGAGCTTGAACCGGAAACTCAGGAAAGAGTCATGCAAACAATAAGCGAAGACTCAAATACAAACTATGACAAAATCTTTCTAGGATATAGGTTACCTGAGATGGGCGACCAGAGTCCAAAGGCAAAAAGGACATGGGAAATTTACAACATACTAGGTGAACATGAGGCAAAGATGCAACAACTTGAAGCAGAGGGTAAGTTACCAAAAGCGACACCAAAGAAGAAGAGAAGAGTAGAACAAAGTGAAAGTAGTGAAGAAGTAACTTCATCTAGTGAAAGTAGTGGCAATGAAGGAAAAAGAAGAGTTAAAGATTCAGTTAAAAACTCAGTCAGGAAGAAAGTAAAGCTTGGTACGAGTGGGTTCTATTATGACACATAAATCCAACTATTCTATATTTTTACCCATATGAAATGTACGCCGCTCAGAATATAACGCCAACAGTTTTGGATGCCATGAACGGAAATGTTTCCGAATGGTATAACGAATGCGACAATGCCATTAGAAGGTCAGAAATAGTTCCTGGAACTTACGAATATACAACTGCTGTTTCTTATGGAAACGTAGGTGAGTTTGGAGAAGGTTCTTCAACAACAGTAGATATTGCTTGCGACAGGTTTCATATTATTTCTATTGACAACTCATTCTTATACGTGGAACAAGACATTGAAATAAAACCTTCTGCCAAGTTGTCTGACAAGAAAGGTTGCAATGGAATTTTCTATGTCGGATACCAATATGCTCCAGAAGTTTTCATGGGATATAAGATATATTCTAACTCTGACTTAGTTCAAACAGTAACATGGGCAAACTATGAATGGTTCGCTTTGAGAAACTCAGTACAACCACAAGCTAGAGAACAAACAGACCAGTATGCAACTATTGAGAAAATAAGAAGACTTGACCCTAACGTTCCAGGAGTTTATGTTAACCTTTCTGGACAAACTGCAGCAGCAGTAACCAAAGTAAAACTGAAACTTAGAGTTCCTTTGTCATCTTTCCTCATCTTCAGGTTTTTAAGATACTTGCCAAACTGGGCAGGAAAAATTTCTATCGAACTTACTCCAAGCAAAAATAACTTAGTCATTGCACCAACACAAGACCCATTCACTATTACAGATACAGCTGGTGGAGCTGCCAGCATACCATTTGGAAAATGGTGCAAAGAGAAAGTTGATGTTTCGTACCGAAATGGCTAACAAAAAGTGACAGAAAACCTTAAATTGCGCGGCAATTTTAATTAAAAAAATAAACATTAATTTTTGTGATTGATATTATGCATTTTATTTATATTATATAAGATTTAAATTTAGGGGAAAAATTGGAAAAAAATAAGATTGGAAGTCTTTAGGTAAGAAGGAAAGGGCAAGAGATATATAGTGTACCTATATACCTCTTGCCCTTTCATTCTAAGTAGAAATGGGAGAAACTTTGTCCGCATCATAAGTTATGCGGACAAAGTTTCTCCGATTTCTAATGGGAATTGCAGGCTATGAGGCACTGATATATAATCAGTACCTCATAGCCTACAATTCCCCTTATTAGACTTCCAAACTTTGAGTTAATGTCTTGACATTAACTCAAAGTTTGGAAAACTTCTCGTAAGAATCAATCGTCAAAAAACTCGATTGCAGTTATATTCATTGTGTTAAATTTGATTTATTTTGAAATTTTTATAAATTAAATTTTATATAACATAAAGCGTTATGAATTAGTATTTCCATATGAATTTTATCTCGAAAATAGTAATTCTGTACAGTTATATTTCGGTTAATTTTGGAAATTTCTAGGAATACTTTAAGATAGTATGATTATATATAACTCTGCCTTCATGATTTATTTTAGCTTTCGCGCAAATATCAGTTAACTTAACTCCATTATTTGATTTTGTGATGGCTTCACAAAGCCAATCAATATCAATCTCTTCTGGAGAATGTCTTCTCATCTAGAATATTTTCAATACTTTACATACAAACATTTTTATTTCTAAAAAACTTTTTAATTTTTTCTAGGATATATGAATGAAAATAGTTAGAACAAGATTTTGAAGCTCAAAACATTAAAAATTATTAAAGATTTGTATAATATGATTAAAAATGGGAAATAATATGAGGCAATATAAAGGAATATGAATATTAAATAAATATATCTAAATAGAAAGAATCAGAAAAATCAAATTATTGGCGCCAAAAATGTCACCTTTTTGGTGAGCCATTTCGGTATGAGATAGCAAAGAGAAAGTTGACTTAGACTTTGGTTTCTCAAACCTCAACACTGAAGTAAACTACTACTTCTCAGGAACAGCAGACAACAATACTGCTTGGGACCCAGTTAAGTTCACATGCGAAAAATTTGAATGCAAGAGAATAGAAAGCAGACTTGCAGTCTATATGTTGGACCCAGATATTTCAAATGCTTTAGCTGCCAAATATATTGCAGTTCCACTTATGTTCCTATACACACAAATATCTGTCAAAGACTTTGCAGGTGAAGTTGGAAACCAAAATCCAGGAGCCGCAGGTGCAAGAACAGATATTGCTTTAACAACTGCAATGAAACATGCAGATACTATGTTTGTACTGTTCAGACGAACTATAAATGACTATTCTTGTTTCTACAACCCTGGTATTAAATATCATATAAACATAGATGGCAAATATTATCCAAGAGAAGAATATTCTACAGTTGAGGATATGAGGTCATACAACTTGACATTAGATGCTATGAACTTTAACAACAACTTCACAACAACCATTAACCCTGAAATGCAAAGTTCTATTATGCCATATGTGAAGGTATGGACTCATACAGGAGGTCAAAAAACTCAATATACAAATGGAGACCGTTCAAACTTTTGGCTTGGCATTCCATTTGCTGACTCAGAAGACTTTATGGGTGGTATTTCAACTGTTGGTACTGTACAAATACAATATACTGGTGACAGAGACGGTCCAGATGAATTGAGAGCAAAGAAGTTTACAAAACCAATAGCACTTTTCACGGAAGATGCTCTTTTGAAGATTCGTTCGATGAAACCTGCTGGGGCTCCTCAGATTGGCATAACGACAGCTTCCATCGAGCAGATTTTGGCAGCAGGTCAGTAGTTGTTCTTGACTGACTTCTCTCGTCAAATATTGACAGTACGCCAGTTTTGACATAATATTGTATTATAAACTTTCCTTTAGTAATATCGGTCAGTTTTTGAAGTTATATTTTTGTCTGCTTCAAGAACTTTCACCATTTCAGTTATACCAACTTTCTTTGCTTTATGAAAATATTTTGGTTCAGCAAATATTGCTATTCTATAACATTTTCCATTGTTTGTGTAAAGAACTATTCTGTCAATGTATTTGTATTGTTTGTGAGTATAAACTTTGTTCTGCTTCAATTCAATAAGATATCCGAATACGTCCATCTTTTTATTCTAAGTAAAATGTCATTTCCGAAAAATAGAAGCGTAAGTGTTTCAAAAGGTTTAATGGCGGTGGCAGATGTGAAGCTAAATTCACCAACTCAAACAAACAGTCAAAGTGTTATTGTCAATGTCAAAGACAGAGATGTTGAAAGTGGGAAACCATACGAAGACGAAGATGGTATAACAATTGTTCCTGTAAAAGAACCAACATATCCTGAAGTTAACAGAGACTTAAGTTCTGTTGCAGATATTCGAAACGACTACCAACAACTGAAAGACAAACTTCAAAACTCAGGGAGAAGATTTGTCAAGCTTTAAGTATAATGTTAAACTTGGTCGAACACAACCCTGTAAAAGTGAACTCATATGTCATTGCACCTCATGAAGTTTTGAAAGAACTATTGAAACTTTTGACAGAGGCAGACGATATAAACATCAAAGAAATAGAACCCGACATTGGTTGCTGTGGTGTTTCATATAATGTCATTGACAAGATATACGTTATGAAAGGAGGTGAAACGTTGAACTTAAAATATAGTTTCCCAGACGTTATAAAAATATTTGACGACCACAACATTTCATTAAAATTTATTTGCTAAGTAAATGGCAGAAGACATAATGGTTTATACTATTACGACTAAAAACCCTGAGTCATATAATTCTATAACAACAAACTTACAAAGTCCTCAAGGACGATATTGTAAACTGACCTTAAACACAATGACGACTAAAGCCTGTTTTGCTCTTTTGACACCAGAAGACTTTATTGTTGTGAATGGTAAAAAATACTCCTTTGAAGATACTTACTCAGATATACCATCAACAGGTTTTGTTGACTTATTTAATACTTTAAGTACGGGTGTAACATGTGCTGCAACTAGAGCAGGTTTCATTATGTTTGGATGTCCGACTGAGTTTACTATAAACGATATGAGCTATAATACAAAACTTATTTCTGGTTTTTACTACCAACAGTTTCCTATAACAGGAAAAGGTGTCATACAAGGAATGTCTATTCCATTGACATTAAGCACACCAATCTTATATATTGTTTCAAACTTAGGTTCAAAGTGTTATTCGAATGTCGACAGAAACTATTATGACCAAAAGATACTTATGCGTATAAACAATACTTTCTCTGCTGGTTTGCCTATTGTTCATTCGAATGCAGAATTTTCAACCTTAGTGAACTCAAACACTTTGGCAAGTATAACGTTGACATTAGTTGACGCAAACTTTGTTCCTGTAAAACTTTTATGTCCTATGTATTTGTCAATGACGGCAGAAAGTTTCGAATTGGAAGATGCAACTGGTGAAAGTATTGTATTACAAGAACAACTTCAACAACAAATAGCTCAAGAACAACAAATGCAACAAATGGAACAACAAAGTCAAGAATAAAAAATATTATTTTTTTATTTTTATAAAATGTACAGAATAGATGTTTCAGATTTTTATGACTTCCAAGCATTCAGAAATATGTGTCCATATTAGAGACTATAACAAAGCAGTCGAGAATTTGAAAACGTTTAGTCATTTATGTTGACTCTGCCCCAGAATGTTATGTCATGAAAGAGTGGATGTTGTCTTTAACAAACCAAGAGCAACATAGTTTCAGAGACAACGAATGTAGACAGAAACTTAAGAAAATAAAAGTCGTAAAGTTGGCATGAAGATGTTAGATGCTTGGGATATCTTATTGTCAAAACTTGAAGATTTTTCAGTTCGAGGTATAAAAGTTCTATACACCTTCTCCAAACTTCTATTCTATCTTCACTGGATATAAATACGAACAAGTAGAATGGAAACACAGTATTATAGAAGCTTGGTTAGACCATGTCAAAGAAATTATATGCAATGGAAACGAAAAAGTTTATGAGTATATCTTATGTTGGTTTGCAAATATCTTACAACATCCAAGTGCTAAAAATGAAACTGCTCTCATTATAATTGGAAAACAAGGAAC